AATGTTGAATAACGATAAAAGTTGATGGTATTCGGCTATGAAATTTTGTAAATAGGTGCGCAATGATGTCGGGAACGCGAAAAGAAGGTCCGCGAAAACTCGATTTTTTGGCTGATTTTCGGTCCCGAAGTGCCGCGTCCCCCCTTAACAAGTGTAACTAAAACGTCCTAAAGGCTAAATTTCCAATTGAAACCTGTGACATTGAGTCGTGATACCCTAACCACATGTTTGATGCCCGATAAGTTTTTCCCAATGATACTTTGCTGAAAGCCTTTCCCAATATAAGCCAACACATTGAAGCATTACGGATGGTTCCACTACTTTGGCTTGCTGTCAGCCAGTATTCATCTCGTGGACACTTTTCGGATGAAATGCCTGGGCCACCTTTAATGGCTATCGTGACTAGACCTATAGTCTATAGCTGCTTGTACCTGGCAGTGCCTAATCTCTGCGTGATAATGCAAAGGCATTCCTTTCACATGTGCTATTAAAATTATTGACACAAAGTTAGCGCTATACCTTCCTGTACCTTAATTTCTGCTAAGTGTTCCGTGGCAACAAGTAATTGTTCGATTACATGCAGACCGAGATAGGTAACGTACAGCCCTGCTTTTAGGCTATAAGTCACAAGCACACTTTGGTAATCATGTGCTTTATTTGTTTAGACTTCCATAATGGAACTGTCAAGTACAATCACCATAAAGTAGCCTAAAGTTTTGTTAGTGTCTGAAGCCTGGCTTTTTTTTTTCCCCTGGTTTTGTTTGCTGCTGTTCGGTTACCGTTCACTTGTGTATCGCAGATACGTTGTGCCATGTTGTAATTTTTTTTGTCGCGGTGATTCCTTGTTTGATTTTTTTTTTTTAGATATTGTGTAAGCGTTGTCATTTACACGTTCTCGAGTGTTGTACGCATATACTGAATGTGATTTGTTTTTCACGTTTCAATTGTACTTTTTGTCTTCTAAACCCACTCCCCTCTATAATGCTGTATGCCCTGAGGGTACAATAAATAAATAAATAAATAAATATCTCCAAGGCCCAAACAGACCTTTTTTTCTGTGTTTGTGCATGTGTGTGTGTATGTATGGAAGGAAGCCTCCTGCACCGCATAGGATAATCTAAAATGAATGTTTTGCAATAGATCACTCCAACATGACACTGAAAATGGCATGTTAAAAAAGAAATGCATTTCAAGAAACTTCTTTTTCTCCCTTTCTTAAGCATCTTACGCCTAAGCGGACTGTACCAGAAGCTGGAAAAGTTATCCCAGGGCTACTCATATGGGATATATGGTGACCCTGCATACCCACTGCGCCCTCTTCTCATGAAGCCTTATGCTGGAGCCATCCTCACACGACCGCAAGCCCTTTTCAATAGGCATATGAGCACTGTTCGCCAGGCGGTCGAGTGGGGATTTGGAAAGACTGTGGCAGAGTTCGCTTTTTTAAATTTCAAAAAGAACAAAAAACTCCTGCTACAAAACGTTGGCCAAATGTATCGTGTTGGCACTATACTCGCGAATTGCCACACGTGTCTGCACGGAAGTCAGACAGGAATGTTTTTTGGCCTTCGAGCACCTGACCTGCAGGAATACTTGAGGGGCGACTAAGTGTGTAATTATGATTGATATGTAGAGTTTAACGTCCCAAAACCACCATACACCACTGTAGAAATTTTGACCGCAAAGGTTTTTTAATGTGCACCAACACTGGACAGTACTAGTGCCTCTGAAATTTGTTCAAATAGGCAACCGTGCACTGCCATCACTGCTTCATTGTGGAAGACTGTTTAGCTTTTTGTTGTGCTGTAGCTAGCAGCACTTTTCGTGTGTGCCAGAGTCAGCATACAGTGGCCAGAAGTGAGACTGGTGGGGGGATTTTCTCAGCAGTGTGTGCTCATGCATGCCACTATCAGATTGTGTGTATCGGAGTGCGCGTTCGACAGATGGTGTGTATATCACGTGCGACGAACTTGAGTACATGTGCTCATTTGTGCAAAAATTTTTTTTCAACTTATTGAAAACGCTTTATTCACCTTAGCAATCTTGTGATCTAAGAGTGCCGGATTTCCAACAGATGCACAGCTGTGCTTGTATTTGTTTGCCTTCATCGCATCCGCATGTTATATTTCTCTCATAGAAAGTGTCATCTTAAATTTATTTCTATACACTGTTATACGGATTCGAGGAATTGGCTGCTTATTTAATCAAATATTTCTTCTCCAAATACTAGTATTTCAAATTGTGGCTCATTTCACAGCACATTTTTGACAAACTGCCATTGTTTGCACCATAAAATGTACTTTGATTCTTGTCTGGTAAATACATTTCATAATAACGATTTCCATGATTTTTCGACAATGCTCTGAACTCCAATTAATGCATGGCAAATTTGATAGCTGCTCCTAAGACACTGGTAGCTGCTGTAAACTAGCAGTGTGGGCGTTTGGGCTAGTTGGTATGACATGGCGATAGGTACAACGCAAGAACAGGACAAAAAAGGTCTCTTTCGTGTCTCTTTGTCGTCGTTCTGTTCTCGCGTTATACCTATTGTCATGTAAACTAGCATGTTTTCCCGCTCCGAATACTTTTCTGGCTGCTTCAAATTATGCTCCAAAAAGTAAGGTCACTTCCATCACTAACGAAGTAATTACATTCAAATTCTTTTAAATTAGGCTATTCACAAAACAGAAAAGCCTTTAAGTTTGTTAAAATTGAAAATTGGTATTTAGTAACATCCCAAAAGCAACTGCAACATTGCATTTGCCCCTAACCTACCCCCACATGTGCAAGATCGAAGTGTTGAATGCAACGAATGTGTGAGCAGACCTAGTTGCAAGGAGCCCTCTAAAGCTGTTACATTGCGCTTGTTGTGCAAATGACTGTAATGTCATCCCCAAGCAAGAAATTAAAAAGGAGTGTAGTGAAGGAGCAAAACTAGCAATATTAAGTCTACTGAGATAGCCTACTTTAAGTTAATGATGACTTTTGCCAGAGGGACAAGTAGAACCAAAAAGTTGAGTATGAGGGTTTTCACATTTGATACAGTTCAGTGAAATATTTATTTCTCCATTTGATATGTAGGCTCCTAATTACAATGTGCAATACTGCCTGGATCATAGCACTCACTTCTTTTGCTAGTACAAACACAACAGCAACCACAATAGTGTTCCTAGAAATTTTTAGTGCAAGACAAGAACTAGCTATACGGGAAACTAGCGTCAGGAAAACAAATACATATACAAGAAGATCACGAGTGTACACTAATGTGGACCATAGTGAATCATTGTGCAAAAATAAAAAAAAAACAAGATTGCAAGTAAACAAGAATACATTAATTGATTTAACAATGAAGTGTATTATAGTGATAAAAGCATATTTCATGAACAAAAATGTACAATAAGGAAAATACAATTACAAGCATATAGCAGTCATCACAGGAATCAATCACCATTCCTACCTTGTTCAACCCCCCTACACATCCACTCGCTGTGACAATAGCAAAAAGATATCTACCTTCAAATGCAGATCCAATACTTTTTCCGCTCATTCTTTCCAAAAACAATAAGAGAGTGGAACAGCTTAAGTGACGACTTGGTTGATATAACAAATAATGATTTTTTTTCTATGCTGTAAAATTCTTCTTGCATTATGGATGTTCTGTGTGTATGAAAATGTACTTTGTGATGCATTATTATGTTCTGATAAATGTGGCGGTGGTTCTTTTTTTATTTTTTATGTACATTATGTATTTTGCTACGAATTCCTTTGTACTGACTGCTTTTTGTTCCCCCCCTACGTGATGCCTATATGGCGATGTAGGTACTCTGTAAATAAATAAATAAGAAAATCACTTTCTGCCTTTTAAAGCTACACCAATGTGTCAGATGCACATCCTCCCGTTCCCTATATGGTACGCTTTTGCTGTTATTTTTTGTGCTATCTTGTCCCTACTTCTGCCTAGACCAAAACATGCATATGCTTCACCAAATTAGTACGGCATATACTTGGAGTGTACCACAGCAGGAAGAGAGAGAGAGTGATGCGAGACATCAGTGCAGCTTCGAAGGGTAGAAACTTATTACAGCGAAAGCTGCTATGAGATCACAAAGGCAGGCTTGATGTCAGGAAAGGAATCACATTAGTATGAGTAAGAAAGGAATTTCAAACAGCAATAAAATAAACTGACATATCGCAAATTGCTTAACAAGTGGGACGTCCGATGCTCCAACCCATACAAAATTTTGATCTCTTATCAACTGTGGCGCCTACCCACTTTGCTCGGGCATAATTCTTCGTCTTCAGCCATTGCATAAAAAATTTGAAAAAAAATTTTTGCAAGTATGCAGCGGATACCACGCTTCTCCAAAGAATGACGAAGGATAGCAAAAGGAATGCCGGTCTTGCTGAGTAATAGGCTGAGTAACCAAGCCTAAATTTAGATTTTCAGTACTACACTGCACTATTTAACCTACCAAAAATGATGCGTTATGAATAAGTCTAATTCTTTCAAAAAGTTCAATCTATTCTCTTTTTTTTTCTCTGTGCATCAAAATTATCATATGCTGTTAAAACAACTCATCACTTTTTCTTTGACCCTGCATGGTCCTTAATTGGTCACTTACATTAACCGCTGGCTATTGAAGTACGCACTAGGGGAACAGGACATTGCAATCGCGGTCAACTTCTAAAGGAAAAGTTTTAGGGTCCGGATTTTTTTTTTCCGACAATTTTTTCTGATACAATCGTGTCTATTACAATGCATAAGACTTACTAAGCATTTGTTCATATATATATATATATATATATATATATATATATATATTGCCTTAGGTTTTACAAGGCAACTGAATAATTATTTCTGGATGTTCTCAACGACAGACTTTACCAAGTCAATCAGGGCACCCTGCTGTCAGAGATAGAGTTCTCTTTCTTGTTCCCTTTCTCTTTGCCTGGCAAGCCGCTCTTCCTTTTTCTCCTCTTGGGTTTCTTCCCACTCCCTCTTTTTTTGGAGAAATACCTCTCTGTCCAAGGTGAGCCTTTCTTGTTCTAAAGTGATGCGGCGGTCCTCGACTGCAAGGCGTTCCCTTTCTAGGGCCAACCGCTCTTTTTCCATTTCTCTATCCCTGCTCCAGGCCCCTTTCTCATGTTGCAGCCTTTTTTCGAAAAACTGCAAGTGGCGATCCTCACGCCTTTTTCCTGTAATTGCAAAATGTTAAGCATTATGGGATGTTTCCATGAGAAATAGAACATGCATGCTCTCTCGCTACACTCATTCTCACTGTTGCTTTCATACGCTATCTAGGTAGATATATGCAAGCTGCACGAAATCGTTTTTTTTTTTTATCCACTGAATGTTTTGACCGCATGGAGGGTTGTCAACATGCTTGACCTGCCTGCAAGATACATAATGCTTGCACTGGCTAGTAAAATAGGTTAGAGCAAGTGTAGACTGCTTAAAGGTTGTAACAGAAGTAACACCTCTTCGTTTCTAGACTTTACCAGGAAGTTGGGATCACATGCATGTAGAGGCAATCTAAGCTGTCAATATACAGAGGTAGAAGTTCCCAGACCAAAGACAGCCGAGGAGCTTTTAAGCACCTCTAATTCAGCACCCAGAAAGGCTCTAAATTAACATAAGTAGAATCATCACGTTTTAATCCTTGCGCAAAGTCAAAGGGACTGGAATGAGTGATTAGGTCTTGGTGAAAATGTGAAGGCCATAAATTATAGTGAAAATCAAGTTTTTTTTTTCACAATTTTAGTAGGTTTGCATGTTGAAACTGCCTTCCATGGTTTAATACTAAAATATTGTCCAATGTCAGGAAAAAGCCTAGACGCTTCACTTTGCCATCATTCAGTTTCTTACGCATAATCTGATGCTTTTATGCATACCTTAATTAGTGCTGAAAGTTTGAGTGTGCACATTGTGACGAAGGAGATGTCAGGCCTTTAATACGCCTTGAAGATGTGATTGATTGGTGTGTGGGGTTTAAAATCTCAAAGCCATCATGTGGTTATGAGATACGCTGTAGTGCAGGGCTCCAGAAATTTTGACCACCTGGGGTTCTTTAACGTGCACCCAAATCTGAGCACACGGGCATACATTTTCGCCTCCATCGCCTTCAAGATGTGGGTGAACAATATATGGATGAGTCCCCACAAGCAATGATCATGAAGAAAAGAAAAACCCCGTGATCATGATTGTGAACAGGTAAAGAAGGTATATGCTCACAATATCATAATCCATTTCCGCTTTATTCCACGTTGCTTACGAGGTAATAAAAGGAGAATGCCCTAAGGAAAGAAAAAAAAGGAAAGAAAAGACACGACTTTGCTAGATGGGCTGAAGTAACGCATTGACAATGTGTTAGTAGAAGCAGTATCACACAGGTCACTGTAATAGGTTGTTTACAGATAAAATAGAGCATTTATACGTTTCATTTAGATGCGCTCTTTGTACATGCAGTAATGAATATTTAAGAAACAACTCAAAATGTCAGAGTAATGACTATAGCTATTAGTTTATCCACATTGAAACGTCTGGCTAATTGCATTTTGTTTGTCAAATACAAACTTACATTGGTGATTTTTGTGTCACAAATTAGTCATGCTTCGCCAGAAGCTGGTGGATGGGCAAGGCCGTCTTACAATGTTCAAACAGTAGTAAACTGAAACGTACGATTTTTTAGGCATATGCCAGGTGGTGTACGCATATACCCCTTCGCAATAGTGGGCAAAAGGCCACTGGCGGGGCCTGGCGAGGAGCCAGTAGTGGGGCCAGAGGTAGGGCCAGTAGTGCGGCCAGAGGAAGGGGCAGAGGAAGAACCACGGGTGGGATCAAGGATGGGGCTAGGATGGCGGGTAGAGGTGGGGTCAAGGGTGGTGTTCAAGGTAGGGCGTGGACTTGGCTCATGGAGGATGCCAAGTGAAGGGCTGGGTGAGAGGTCCTGAACCAGCCCGCTGCTGGATGCAGCCGTCTTCCCTGTTGTACTCACCAAGGTGCTGGCGGGTAGTTGTGGAACTGATGCCAGCACCTCGCAGTCATCACAGGTAGCTGAAGCTTGGGCCTCCCCCAGGTCATAGACGTTTGTGTACCCTGAGAAAGAGTAAATGTTGTAGCGCATAGTTTAATTAGCTTATCAGAGACATCAAGGTAATCTGGTGATACCAGCAATTTGAGGAAACGTACAATTTTATATGGTTTTACTAGTGGTTGGTACAGACTTAAACAACTCAGGGGTATTGAAGGACTCTGAAGGTCCTACGTAATATTTTTGAAGAGGCAGTCAGGGTATCTACCATTTTGATTTCTTTTTCAAATTCCCTGACTTTTCCCAGGTTTTCCAAGATAATGAAAAGTGAATTCCTCGACAACCACATTTGCTTAGAAAACAAACCCTCGAGTGAAAAAAAAAAGCAAAATCAGACACTCATATAGAATAAGTGAACATATTGCACGCCCTCAGAATATTCTGAGCGTGAACGGTAAATATGAAAACGTACATCTGGCCAACTAAAACATGTGAGCTAGGCAGTGAGCAACTTTTCAGTTTGATGTTTAGAAGAACCAGGAAGCAAACCTTTTCTGTTTTGTTATAAAGTCAGTAATACTGAGCAATAAATGTTCTTTCGTTCTGCCTGCTACATTCCAATACTTCACTAACCTTAATGATGTCACAGTATAAGTCATGACACTTAACAATTTCTATTTGTTGTCTTGATATTCATTTAATTGCTAAACTAAGAAAACATTTAATCAAACTACTGATTTTTAAGTAAGGAGCAAGATACTTACACATGTTGTCTTCATCATGCGAAGACAGTACGTCCTCATCCACAGACATCCACTGCCTTCCAGTTGCTTCAAATTCTGAGGCGCCTAGGTCTCGGATTGCTGCAGCTATTTTCTTTTCTGTAGGTGGGCGCTCCAATTTTGCTTGCTCCTGCTTCAGCTGCTGTTTTGCTGCAGCTGCAACTTTCCTTACGGCACTACCTTTTAAGCAGTACCCACTGTTCTGTGCTAAGTGGTATACCTCTGCCAGCAGCCTCTCTTTTTCATTATATTCTTCTTCTGTTCCAGATCTAAGGGAGATTAATTAGCAATAATATTAATAACCCATAACAATTACAAACAGTACTCGCTAATGTTAAGGACAGAAGAAACGCTGACTGCCGGCAAGTTTATGCACTTTGGAAGTTTAACAAACCACATTTCTCTCAACTGTTTGACATCTCTGGGCAACCCATTTAAAGTTGTCAATTGTTTCAATGCATGCGCACCACATGTTTATTCCCTAAGCCGCTGTATGATGCCAATAGTAAATAGCCTCCTCGAACATGCATATTGTTGGAACGGTAGAGTGAAGCACATGAGCAACTCTCAAACACTTAGGCATTCGTTCTGATCGACTTTTCGCGTAAAGTTGCCAGGAACAGGTCATTCCTCACTGAATGCGTTCAAGAGCAGGCAAAATTTGGACCGGTGGCCTAAGAATCACGTTTCGCGATTGACTATGTTATTTTTCACTTGTTGCGCTGCCTATAGTAGGAAACGTTTTAGATTTACCAGGGCTATTCCTAGGCACTAGCTTTCTTCCTGACCAGATTCTGCTTTTGCATATTGCATATCATGGAGATCCACACGAGCACAGCTCAGCGCAGTTAGGCCTTCAGCAGCGCAAGTGCTGCGGCAGCAGAAAAGATTGGAAATGACGTAGCACGTAAGTACACAAAGGTTATTAGAGAGGGGAAGCGATCAGAACACTTACCTTCTTAGATTTTCTCTGTCGCGCGCGGCGAACTGCGCGAGCAACAAATCGAGGCGGTCCCGAAGGCTCCGGGCAAGAACATTCCTCAGCAACACCGCCGATAAGTTGCGAGCGATGGCGCCCCATCTCGAACTATCCTCAAAAGGGTTGACGGCCAGCACCTCCCGTAAAAGAAAAATGTCCACCTCCGGCGTAAAGTAAAACCTTGCGCTGCGCTGCTTCGCCGGAGGCGGAAATCTGGGAAGGCGGCTGATCCATCCTGTGCGAGATTTGGCGCCTTTGTGCTTACAAGTCAAAGTGGTGGCTCTGGCCAGCCTCGGCTTGGCTTATGTCCACTTATCTCCGCTAGGAGGCCAGTGGCGGCAGCGTTGTTTATGGGCGCACAGATGCATCGCCCCATCGATCTTGCGACGCATCTGTTTGGGGCTTCGCGCATGCGCAATACCGCCGCCTGCGTACCCAGCACTAAAACTCCCTATAAACACCTAAGCGTACATACGTGCAAGCCTTGCGAGCCGTATCTAAGACGAGGCAGCATGCAGCACGCGAACTCGAGTAACACGGTAATTCAAAGATGCGTGCCGGCGTGGATGCATACACCGCTATATGTTCGGCTACCCGCAGCAATTCCTGATAGCAGTTAAAAAAAAAAAAAGGCGTACAACATATAAAACTATTTTCAAACTGTTTTGGACGTACAACATATGAAACGTACAACATATGAACCTATTGACTCCTGTAGCACACAATATGAACAGGCATGCAAAAAAAAAAAATCCTCAAATTAAGAGATCCAAACATACGCGCGCTAGGCATAGCGTAATCAACGCTTACAGCTAACAAACGCCGTCTTCGCCCAACAATTATTTAACCATCGCGAGCAGGGCTCCCTGCCAACACCACTGCCGACAGAGGCGGGCGCCGTCACAACTCGCCCAAACCCACCGCCGAATTCCCACTGCGCACGCACGCGCCATGTGCTCCACACACCGAAGCATGCTTGAATCGAAAGAAAAAGCTCGCCCACGCTCGACTTCCCACAAACACGCCTTCATCCTGATGAATTGACACACACAAACAGGTTCGCTACGTTAAAAAACCTCACTTATCATCCACATGTAACGAAAAACGTAGCATGGCGTCGTTATCACGCTCTCGGTGTTGACAAAGCGCCGACAGCAGGAATGTGGCACGTACCTGGCGAGTGTTCCAAAAGGCGACGCCACACGTCCTCGCTTGAGTAGAGTTCATCTTCGTAATAGGCAGCACCGGCAGAACACAAAACACGAACGCAGCGCGCAAGCACACCTCAAAAAACGAGAAAATTCGATGCAGAACCGACAAGCTGCGAGGCGCCCAACCAGCGACGGCAGCGAGCAAGCACGCCCGAACCATAGCCTCCTATATAACTTTCGTGCCCGCGCATTGGCGCTTAATACATACGCGCCATCCGTCCCTCATAGTTCCGGCACTTGCCGCCAGGAGCCGCACCGATCCCATAATAACAGCAGACGACGCGGTCTATGCACGCCTGCGTTTACCACGGTCTAGAAACCGTCTAAATTGCATTGTATTATGCGTATACGTTAAAAAGTGCGCACACATAAAAGTTTTAACACAAACATTGTATGCATAATGCAATGCGAGCTTTTTTATTTGATTTCGTGCTCAAAGCTTGAGCACTTTTCAAGACAACGGTTTGACAGGAAAATATTTCGCCAAGTCGTGTTTGTCAGTCACACTCGTCGCGAAGTTCCCAAAAAGTGGGCAGAGAAACTTCACGAGCACAACCTCCAAAAGTTTTTCATGGTGTCCCGGGGTCGAGCAGTTGAGTTTGTCATGTTTCTGTAGTATTTCCGCGGCGTTGTCAATGGCAGCCTTCAACTTCTGAAAATTTTTGACCTGCTCCAGCAGTATTGAGGCAGCCAACTCATTTTCACTTGCCTGCTCAACAACCTGCAAAACTGCTGGGACATGTCAGTCTTCTTTAAGTTGCTGAAGCTCCGTTTTATATTTTTCAACAGTTCCTCTGAACCTTTCAACCTGCGCCCTCAGTTCGCGTTCCTTACGCTTCCACTTCCGTCTTTCGATGGTTGGCAACAAAATGCGTGAGGCTACTTGCACTGCTCTATCCACCTGCACCGTTCTCGGGACGAAGCCTTGGTCAGTCCTGCTGCTGGAGTTGGGCACTTCTTCAACAAGTAGGGCGTCCAAAGTGCATGACTGGTCATCTTGTAAGTCCGTAAACACAAGTGGGGTGCCACCACCGACTGCTCTTTTTTTTTCTTGCTGGCTCGCCAGTTAATACAGCCGCAGCACGCTTCCTGAGGGCCGCATCGCTTCTTTCGGTTTGTTTTCAAGGTTGCAATTACGACGGGTACTCGTGAAAGACGCTGGGCACAGAGCCTTTCTTCAGTCTTCGCGTCGTGCACCCTTCTTTAAAGTCGGACGGGACAAATTGTCGGCTGCAAATGGTAGAATAGCAAGATGTGTTGTTCGTGGTTCAGTTATCTCTCGAGATTACCTTAAGCCACTATTCGCGAAGTTCTTGGTCGCTCGGAATTTCGTGAAAAGATACTCCGGTTTCTTTCCGGCCGCTCCATGATTTGCAGTGTGGTACGCAGCAGTACAGTATTGTGGAGCGTTCGAGGCGCAGCCAAACGTCTGACCATGCATGGACAGCCGCCTTTTTTTTACGGCAGTGCTGCAGATAACAAAAAAATACAGCGTTCAGGCACGATTCCTCGCAGCAAGCGGATTTCTTAACGATGTAACACTTTTAACAAAGAACTTACCCGAATCGGCCAAAAGTTGGGAAAAAGCGCACTTGATACAGTCACGTCTGTCTCAGCGAGCGCTGCAGTTAACGAAGCTCTTGGGGGAGACGTACCATGCCAGAAAAAAGCATCAAGGGCAAGCAGAAAACACAATGGGTCAAGGAGAGTTTTACATGGAGCACGGCAAACCAAATTTGCGCACGACGGGAAAACCGCGGCGTAGCGGTGTGCGCCTGCTGCTGCAGCAAGCGCGGCGCGAGCTGGATGGATGGATGGATGGATGTGGCTGTACCCTTTAGATCGGGCGGCGGCTAACGCCACCTAGCCGTGATACTTAGTGAACTAATCATTACATTTATCTTTTTTTTCCTTTAAATATTGAAGTTGAGGATTCGTACTTCGCAGTGAAGGGTTTAATTTTCACTCGTGCCTTGACTTTAGCCACCAATCAGATAACCTCCTTCTAGTTAACTCTACCCGCTTAAAGTCTATTTTGCCCTCGCTGTCCCTAAATCCCAGTGCTTTGAAAAACTCTGCGCCATCATCCTCAACTATAGGGTGAAGCCCTTTACAGAACATTATCAAGTGTTCGGCAGTTTCTTCTTCCTCTCCACACGCACTGCATACTGTGTCTACCCCTTCGTATTTGGCCCGATATGTCTTGGTTCGCAGTACTCCCGTCCTGGCCTCAAACAGTAGAGAACTACCCCGTGTATTATCATAGATCCTTTCTTTGGCAATTTCCTGCTTAAAAGTTCGATAGATCTCTAGTGCGGACTTCTTAATCATGCCCATTTTCCACATGTCAGTCTCCGTTTCCTTCACTTTCTTCTTAACCGATAGTTCTTTTTGGTTTGGCCACCTGCTGTTTTCTAAGTATTTACCAGTCAACTTCCTGGTTCGCTTCCTCCATTTTGTATCGACATTCTTCATGTACAAGTAGCTGAAAACCTTCCTAGCCCAACGCTCTTACCCCATTTCTCTCAATCGTTTCTCAAATTTTATCTTGCTGCTAGCTTCCCTGCCCTCAAATGATGCCCATCCCATATCACCTTGTACTCCCTGATTTGGTGTATTCCCGTGAGCTCCTAAAGCAAGCCTACCTATTCCACGTTGCTTAATTTCTAATCTTGCTTGAACTTCTGATCTCATGCACAAGACCGCATTGCCGAACGTCAGCCCAGGAACCATGACCCCTTTCCATATTCCTCTCACAACATCATACCTATTGTAATTCCACAGTGCCCTATTTTTCATGACTGCTGCATTCCTGTTACCTTTAGTCGTCACGTATATTTCGTGTTCCCTCAGATACTCGGTCCCATTGCTTATCCATACGCCCAGATATTTGTATTTATCTGTTATCTCTAGCGTGACCTCCTGTATTCTAAGCTCACTACCTTCGTTGTCATTGAAAATCATGACTGCTGATTTTTCCTTACTGAATCTAAAATCTAACCTATCTCCCTCATTACCGCAGATGTCCATCAATCTCTGCAAATCTTCCTTGTTGTTGGCCATTAGCACTATATCATCTGCGTACATTAATGCTGGTAGTGCCTGATCAATAAGTTTTCCTTGTTTGACTAAAGAGAGGTTGAAGCCCAGTCCACTTCCCTCTAATTTTGCCTCTAATCCTTGTAGGTACATCATGAATAATAAGGGTGACAGGGGGCACCCCTGCCTAAGCCCCGTTTTACCTCTGCAGGCTTGGATACCTGTTTTTCCCCCTTTATAACTACCTTGTTACCTTTATAGATACCCTTTAAAAGATTAGTGACTACATGTTCCACACCTAGTGTGTCCAGTATTCCCCACAATTCCTCTTGAACCACGCTATCGTACGCTCCCTTGATATCCAAAAATGATAGCCACAGGGGCCTGTGTTCTTTTTCTGCTATTTCGATGCACTACGTCAGTGAGAACAGATTGTCTTCCAACATCCTGTGTTTCCGAAACCCATTCTGCAGTTCCCCCAGCACCCCCTCATCCTCTATCCACGCCTGCAGTCTTTCCTTTATAATCTGCATCGCCAGCCTGTAGACCACTGATGTCACTGTTATAGGACGGTAGTTGTTTATGTCAGCTTTGTCCCCCTTTCCTTTATAGATCATGCTCATCCTGCTAAGTTTCCATCCATCGGGAACCTCACCATCGATTATTATTGTACTCACTGCCTCTCTCAGAGCCTGCTTAGACTTCGGACCTAATGTTTTTATCAGCCTAACTGGAATGCCATCTGGGCCTGTTGATGTACTACTAGGAACCCTTTTCTCAGCCCTTTCCCACTCTTGTTGTGAAAATGGAGCCATTGCACCACTTGATTCGTCTTTGTCTATTGTGGTGCATAAAGTACTTCTTTGTTGAAATTTTTCTGTCACCCTTGTTCTTATATATTCAATAGCTTCGTCTCCTTCTAGCCTAGCACCTTGGGCTGTAGCTATAAAGTTCTGCTCTAGGCTCGTCTCATTTCTTAGGGAGTTTAGATGGTTCCAAAATTTCGCAGCTGCCTTTCTATCTTTTTTATGTACTTCTGCCAGCCACTGAGCTCCCTTCCTTCTAATCTTTTCATTGATCAGAAGGGATGCATCCCTTCTACAGCTTAGAAAGGTTGCCCATTTTCTTTCCACATCATCTGTCGGTTCACCCCGCTGCTTAGCATGTCTGTGTTCCCTAGAGGCTTCCTGACGTTTTGCTATGGCTCTCTTAACTTCCTCATCCCACCAACTTTTGGGTTTGTGTCTTCTTTTCCGGGGTGACTTGTCACGCGTCTTAGCAAGCTGTATCTCAAAGAGTCTAATTAGATTCGTGTATCTCCACACTGTCTTATTATCCTCCGTGATTACTTTCTCAATTTGTTTAGTGGCTATTTCAATTTGCCTTTCTGGATAAAAATTTTCCTGTAGTTGCTCATCTTGTCTCCTTCCCACTTTCACTGCTCTTCCAAAACTTAGCTTGATACGTTTGTGATCGCTACCCAGACTTCTGGAGCCACCTTCATCTATGTGCATTTCCCTGAGCTTATCATACATCCTATGTGACATCAGTGCATAATCTATCGTCGACTGAAGCCTTCCTACCTCCCATGTTATTTGCCCTTCACACTTCTCGGTACTGTTGCAAATGATCAAATCAAGCCTTTCACACATATCCATGATCATTTTGCCTGTCGGGTCGGTATACCCATCTATATCTTCTATGTGCGCATTCATGTCTCCTAGTATAATTATCTCGCACTCTCTTCCTAACTCCTGAATGTCCTTTGATATACACTCTACCATTGCCTGGTTTTCCTCTCTGGCCTTTGCTCCCGTCCACAAGTACACGAAACCAAGGAGTGTCATTTGACCTGCCACTTTCCCTTTTAGCCATAAATGTTCCTTGCACTCCTGCTTGACCCTTTGCCAGTCTGTACTTTTATGAATGAATGCCCCAATACCACCCCCCTTTCTGCTGCCTTCTGTTCTATTACAATACTCCCACGCGTAGTCCGGATTGTTCGGAGGTTGTTCCATGTCCCTGAGATGTGTTTCTACAAAACCGTATACCATCGGCCTCTCTTCCCTTAGCTGTTCTTCTATCTCTTCCCACTTCAGCCTGTTCCTACCACCCTGCATATTAATATACCCTATGTCTGAATTGGCTCGGCGCTCGTGGCTACGTCTATTTATGCCCCGGACTCTACCTATCTTGGGCACTGGTGCCACTTTGGAATCGTATCTGTCCATACCACCTGTCGAAGAGTCTCCCTGGTTGTTTTCCTTGTTACTAGCTATCCTGCACCCCGAAGGGCTCGCTTGCCCCCCAAAAAAGCTACTGCGCGTCCTGCAAGTCGCCAACCCACCTCATGACCTAGCCGCCCATCGAAGTGAATTTTGTCTCGTTGAAAACCCCCCCACCTATGCACCTCTCTGTTTATTTCCACCACCTCAAAGCCTTTCTCTCGACTCATCCGCCATATCTCTTGGTTTGCGTTGACCACCGCTCTTTGCAGGTTGCTATCACGCACCGGTACTTCCGGTATCGTGCATACCACTACCTGCACCTTAGGAGAAGTGGCACGCATGTCATCGACGCCTTTCGCCAGTGTGGCTGCTAGTCCTGCTGCATCTTCATTTAGGACATCGTTTAAACCGCCTGAAATTATCACGAGGTTGCGTCTATCAGCTGTCGTTTTGAGCTTTGCGCTCGCTTGCTTCATGACTGCTTCCAGCTTGCGTCCTGGGAACGCCCCTACTGCAACCCTCCTGTCACCTCTTACCCTCTCTTTGATGGCTTCTGTGCATCGATTTAAATTTGAGTCCCCGGTGATTATCACATGCTGTGACTTTTCTGCTGGAGCGTTCTGCGCCTGGGGGCTACTTGCACCTGTGACGCCGGCTCTTTTGTTCCCTTCCTGCCCCACCACTACCTCGCTGAAGCTGGGCCTTGCGACAGTTGAACCGGCTAAACCTGTTTTTTCCAAGCTTGCTTGCTTTTCCTTCTCCACCGTTCTGGTGTCCGGTTCCCTACTGTTCTCTCGGTAGGTCGCTTCTTTGTTCAGCTTCGCTAGTGCTTCCTCGGTGGACTTCAGTCTTTCTCCCATTGCCCTCGTTTTCTCTTGCTCTGTCGCCAACGCAGTCTCGAGCTCATCGATTCTCACCAGCAGTTCACTTTGGGCAACCATCATTTTCTCCATTTTTTCCTCGACCTCACATTGCCTACACTTCGCGACAGCCTCTTTTCCCTCCGCTTCTACTCTCGAGTCCACTTTCAAACCCACTCCACATCCTGAACACTTTACAGTCTTTTTAACCATGTCTTTCTGACACCAATTGTCCCTATACTCGATAATTACTAAACTCGAGCCCTGCACTACGAAAAAGAAAAAGGGAAAAAAAGCTATTATGGGATGGGAGCGCCCCTGGCGGAGCATCGAGGCGCAAAACGAGAGAATCGGTTATGAAGCGTGGAAGCTTGGGCAGGTTGGTAGGACATAACTGAATGCAGGAACACCGCTCAGGCACAAAGTTATACCCCTGTCACACGGGCACCCGTGAAGACCGTTTAACTCCCTCGTCTTTACGACAACGAAAATGCGGTCGGTGTCACACGGACACCCTTACGCAAACGAAGGTGAACGGAGCATTTCGCAAAGGACGTTCAACAATCTCTCTTCACAGCGAAACGAGGTACTCTCGTCCTCAGCAGTCTAGAAGTCAGAGAAAAATTTCGAGCACTAAGTGGCCGCAGTGAAAGAATAATACATTTTAGCAATATTAAACGTTCTTTCGTTGTATTGCTCATTCACAACGCGTGTTTGTTTACAATATTTACACCCGCCAGAGTTCACTTACTCTCAACACCGACGCCCTACACACCGTTCCTCGCGAGTCGGGCCGGCCGGCGCCAGCCGATCAACGTCAATATGAGCGCAATATCACACCACTTACTCACGTCGTCCGCTGTGTCACTCATGGCTGAAGAACACAAAATGTGTGCTCACGAGGCAAGGAAGCCTAAGAACTTTCGTACCGGGCATGTACACAGGCAATAAAACAACTAAAAGCACAATGTGGCCAGCGTCACTAGCAGCATTGCTACATTTAGCAAGTGCGTTTTTATTTGAAATTATTTTTAATGGTTTGTAAGTCGCATACTTACTTAATAGTGCTTTTTTTGTAAAAACCGCATAACGAGGATTCACAAAAAAATTATTAGGGATCAAATTAGAATACTTTCCCGAAAATCAAACAGCGCCAGCTGAGCCCCCTCGCGGCAACTGTTACAACCTTGTCATTGCCGTGTGACACCACTTCCACAACTCCTTCTCCGTCGAACCCCCTAGGAAAGATTTACGTTGACGGTGTTCAACGGAGTTTGGTGGTGGCCGTGTGACAGGGGTATTATAGAGGAGGCTATGCCCGAACAAGTATCGTGGTTACAGCTCCGCAGACGTAAAATGGTAAACTAAAATGTTTTAGTGACGCATTTAAGTATGAAAAGTAAACGCAAATATATATAGCATAAAAACTAAGGAGCAAAATAATTTTATCTCTACAAACAAACAAAATTAACGTATAAAGTTAGCGCGCGAAGTTTGAAACGCTTGCAGATACAATGTACTTTTAACAAATGAACAACAGCGGTAATAATCACCTGAAACACTCATGTTCTTGAATTCGAAATATACTATTGTTGACGCACACATTTACACACAAAATTTTATTGCAATGATTGATGGTGCCTATGCATAGGCGTGCCCACCACGGGGGTAGGGGGGCGGGGGCGGCCCTTGGTCACTTAGGGGAAAATGTAAATCCCTATAGGTACATGGAGAAATAGAGAGGGGGCACTCTAACTCGACGGGGGTTGCAGTGCCCCCTGCTGATCACCTCATACACCCCCGCCCCCCCCTCCCGAAGGGATGTCAAACTGAATAGATAGCGAATACAAATTTCACGGTGTGATTCGCAGTGTCCCACAAAATATATATATATATATATATATATATATATATATATATATATATATATATATCCCTAACCCCTAAGGAGGAGATACATATATATATATATATATATATATATATATATATATATATATATATATATATATATATATATATATATATATATATATATATATGTGTGTGTGTGTGTGTGTGTGTGTGTGTGTGTGTGTGTGTGTGTGTGTGTGTGTGTGTGTGTGTGTGCGTGCGGGGGCGAGAGGCGTGTCTCTCCCTCCTCTCGTACCCTTCTCCCCTTCGCTTTGCAAAGGCGCTGCGTGCACTGACCATGCCATTTTCTGACCTTTATTTCTTGACCTAAAGAATCACTTCCCGTGCTCCCGCATGGCTGCAGAAGGTATACTGTGCATTGTTTTCTTTTTCGACCAAGCAGGTGTCGTCTTCGATAATCTTGTGAAAACGACTTGCACTCGAACGGCTTTTGACCGAGCAAGTGTTTTTGTAATAAATTCAAGCTTTTTTTCTCAATTGCTTCTACACATGAATATGTGCTGTTCATAGATCGTGACAGCCCATTCTTTCATTCACATATAATGTGGACGATATAAAGTGGCAAAGCATGTCGAATCATACAGTGCGAGAAAAATTAGTCTCTTTTACATTTTCTCAATTATTCTTAGAGTGTTCTGTAAAATTTTGCCAATGCCTCAATCATTTCCTTGATTTTTTTCATTCTACGACATTGTTATACTATGGGTAAGGCGTTCCTTGCACTATGCGTGGTATTTTATTTGCAAGCATGGATGCAGCTTAGGAGTGCACGTGCAAGAATCGATTCTTGCACGTGCACTCCTGAGCTGGCGGTCTGATGCTTATGGTGCTGAACTGTTGACCCGCAAGTCGCAGGATTGAATCCCGGCTGTTCACGGCGGCCACATTTTTGGTGGACGAGAAATAGTGCGGGGCCTGTGTAGCTAGATTTATGTGCACCTTAAGTATAACCCCAGGTGGTTTAAATTTTCGGAGACCTTTGGTACGGCGTCTCTAATGATTATATGACAACTTTGGGACGTTAAACGGAACAATTTTTATTGCAACAATTATATAGGTGTACACCCTTCTGTTCTTCAACACCCTCACGAGCAGCATAATAACACCCTTATGCCCCTTACACCCTTCTCTGAGGGTGTACCAGCAAAGAAAAGGGTATTACAATCATTCAAAAAGGGTGTAAATCTGTAAAACACCCTTTTTACACTCCTAGGGGTGTAAACTTTTTTACTGTTCATGGTCACACAAAAAGAAGACATTGTCTTAGCAGATGTAAGGCACGTCTTGCTTCTCGAACGCGTCACGCGTCTCTTGAAGTGTAGAGCACGTGCGCAGAACGGTCATAGGAGCGGCTGAACATACAACGGATATCTCGCTCCGCTTAAGATGTCGATCGAGCGGAGGGGGAAGGTGCATTTACTTGGTTTCAATGTCGTTTTGCAGACATTCTAGCCGCGTGTCATAAAACGCGCTCGTCAAAAACGCAATTTTATGCAGTTCCCTGTCCTCTCTCCGGTCTGTACATCTGCGCGTCGCTGAGCGTTATAGCGACGCTCAGATACACGTGCCTAACGGCATGAAAACCAGTCGCTAATATTTCATTCAAGCATGCCGCATTACTAACTGAGCTTGGTAGGACAGGCCACTTAGAGGCTACTGCGTCGTTATGAAAGGGACGCTCATTACTGTTACCCCTATGCCTTCACGGCGCAGCCAATCAAAAGAACAGTAACTGCGCTTCTTTCACATACTACTGTCGTAACAATGCGACAGGGGCCCTGTTATGTTTGAAAGAAATGTTCGGTGTTTTAGAGTACGCAAAACTCTAGTATGGGAGAGCATTAAGCTGTCACAGTACCACCAGGCCCGGAAACTTTCTTGTTCCCGCAATGGCCGTAGAGAGTGAAAAGATCGCCCACGGCGAGTTTCATCATTTGCGCGTATTGTATAACTACTAACCCCCCTTTTAGCGGTCGGATAAGTTAGTGTGCATTTTCCCTTTGAGGGGCACTCAACTCGACTGAAATTTTTATTTCAGGATGTATAAAAAACCGTTAAAAGGATAGTTACTATGCCGTTCTTTATTTAAAAAATGAATAAAATATTTTTGTCTTACTTTCACTAATATTACAAGAGCGGTGATTGTTTTAGTTCAAGTATTATTATTATCCTGATTCTCGAAAAGCAGCAGTCCATTGGAATCGATTCCGTTTCTGTCGGTTAAGTTTTTTCAAATTGTCCGTGGTTAGCTGCGGTACTTTTTTGTCGATCGGCATTGCGAATCTCCGTTTTAATTAAGTTTTGATATATCAATGCGAGCTTGTGAGTCAGACTTTACGGGCTGGTACTACGAAGCGAACGTGTCTAGAGGCTGTGAACCATGTCAGCTGCCATGCTTCACCGACGTCCGGCTGTGCAGCCTCCAGCGTGAAAATTCAGCGCCGGCAAATTTCTCGGAGACTGCCTACGAAGACAGAATAATCTTGGTCAATTTGGGTGTGTTCGCCGTTGAATGAAAATGCGCTGCGTTGCATCTCAACACGGCCCTTCTGCATGCGCTACAGTTTTTGTCATTTCATAGGGCTTTTCGACTTGTACAGCTAATGAGATGCACACCTTGTGAATGTTTGAAATTGTTTACTTCGTTGTCATATTCACTGAAAATATCTTTACTGCTAAATTTTGTTGCACAAATAGCAGCATAAGTTCTAGCTGTTTCTGCTCAAAATGAGTCTGCTGCAATAGATGCTCATAAATTCAATACACAGTCGAGTCGAGTGAACCTTCAGTACATGTACGGATTTGTACATTTTTCGTAAGTTTACAATGAAGCATATTACATTTGCATGAACCATATAGCCCATCCAGTTGCGGAATTACCTAGCTTTGTTCTCTGAAGAACGTCCCTAAACAAATTAATTATAATGCCATCCACAAGACAAATTCACAAAACAGCAATGTTATGTCCACATTACCTTTCTTATATGCAGTGTTCTCATATACATTCTTCTTAGTCGTGCGTCACAAATCCCTTCACGCTTCTACCAGAGTAAGCAGGACTGTTTTTTTTCTTACAACCCAACCACAGCCTCCAAGGAACTGCTCATATCAGCGTACGCTTGGATGCCTCATCACTCTAAACCTACCTCAAGTCAGCGGAGAATGTGTCGACACTGAAAGCAAGCTCATGGGCCAAAATCTTCGAAAGGTATGGTTGAAGACACTTTCTTTATTGAACATAATTTGTTCAACCATTTTGGTCTTACCCTACTCATGAGTCTGTTTTTTTTTCTTCTCAGAAAACTAGACTAAAGAGAGACCATTGATTTCCAAGCTACCCACATCCAGTCGTAAGAATCTCTGCAGATGCCATAGTGACAACCTCATGCGCCACCAATATGCCAGGAGGGCAAATGGAAGCATTATATTGAAAAGCAGTGATAGGGTACGGTATGCTCAAGCTGTATGAAATCGGGTGCACAGATTATTGTTTCTTGCTTCAGGAATGACTGAGTTTACAGGAAATGTGTAGGCTTCAAAATTCTTGGAGTGTGCATGTCATGGGGTGCACATACTGTACTTCACTCTACGCGATAAACTTTGCATATAGTATCACATATACCTATGTAACAAAGGGGCTTGTAGTAGTGCATATTTAGCAGCACTTCTTTTTCACATTGGATATAGATTGCTGTGAATGTAAAGACTGTTGCAAGGCAGTGGAAGGTACAGCTATAGTGTAGTGTTGAAACAGTTACTGATACCGCGTGCATGTTGGGAGTGACACTATCAAAGTTCTAAAAAAATTGCAAGAACTCAAGCATTCATTAGACAAGACATGTCTTGCGAGGTAGCAATTATGTAGCCGAACCATGAGAGTAAAATACTTAGAAGAATAAGGAAGAATAAGAATGGTTAGATCACATTCGGCAAGCATTCTCAAATCGTGAATGATAAT